GGCTTCAGGTGTACAAAGGCAGATTTTATGAATAAACCCTAAATTAGAATATGGATGCTATAATAAAACATTATAGCACAATGTTAATATTGCTTCTAAGCTCTCCCAATTCAGCTTGATTAGGTAAAATGTTAAATGTCATTTACTCTGGCAAAGATGCCTGCAGTGTTAGTGTGTCAGATCTATTTTTGAGATGTTTGTGTCATAGAACTCAACTGTACAGCTCCAAACGTTGCGTAAAGAAAAGAACCGGGTTGGTAAATGTCCCAGAAACCTAATTCTTCCCGAGTTTTTCTGAATCTTGTTTATGTTGGGGATATACAGAACTTCCTGTGGTATAAACTTTTACAAATTATCCTCTTTAAACTTCTGCCATGGCTACAATATGGTAAGTTTCAGTAGTAACAGTTTATCCCTTTCCACTTAAATAGAAATGTGTTTGATAGCCCATACCTGTGATGTGCTGATATCTTTCAACTGCCTCTGAAGGTGAGGGAATTTTCACTTTGGAGGACTAGAGTCAGCACAGCTGAACCAAAGCTCTGGAAGGGGAATCTAAGAAAATGATGGCTCAGACTTTAATCTTCATTAAATGAGCATAAATTTGACATCCTTTGATCTTGTCCTTTACCCAGTCATGACTGAGATCAGAATCTGGCCCCCAAACTAAGGAAAGCTTGGTTGGGACCTGCTAGCCTAGAGTGAAAATGTCGACACAGGCAGTAGAAGGGAAGAAGACAAGAGAAAATGTAACTGCTGGAGTTAAAAGGATTTAAGAGAGAGCTAGAAGAGGCTTCAGGATGGAAAGAGGTCTAGGTTAAGCCAAAATGTGCCTCAAATGCCCTTTCCTATAATATGAGGTGACTGGGCAACAGATTGGAGTCTACTGACTGAAGATGTGTGTGAAGAAGTGGGACCCAAGAGAATTATTTTCACAGCAGAAGAGGACCCCACCCCAGAAGGAGAATCCTGTAGACCCTAGCTGACTCTTCTCGGCACCAGCATGGAGATTGAAGGGATGACACGACTTTCCTCCTCACACCCAGCTTTGCTTTGTTTCTGTGGCCGAGATATAATTGTGGAGGTGGATTTTTTTCCTCTCTCTCCCAGGTTTCAGAGATCACTGCTGATCTGGAGACTGAGTTTACTTCCAAGCTGATGAAAGAAACATGCACATTGCTGCTTACAAAAGAGCTTACGAACATCAGTATACCACCTGCAGAATACTGAACCAGCAGAACATCTTACTAAAGCTCTGAAGGAGATGTATGGGTACTTTTCGAAAGTGATTTTCTTTTGTTTTTCTCTTGTTTTCAGGTAAGAAGGAGCTTAAGACCCCACGCCTCTACTTTCTCTCCCTCCAAACCGTGCCATGGCTTCCAATCTTGTGGTTATCCTAGACACCCAGGCTAGTAGGGTACCCAAAACCAGTAGGATGTGTTTTACAAGTAAGGGTCATGTTGGCAAAAATGGGAGAGTTAAAATGTGATGGAGTCTTAAGGAGACCATTAAGACATACGAGTGCATGACTGGAAGAGTTCCTCACCTTGAAGTGAGACACCAGCAACACCACACAACTTGTACTCTCAGCCGCTGGCAGAGGCCACCTGAGATATACTGTCCATCCTGTGGGAGAAAGCAACATACCACGTAGACCTGCTGAAATGACAGTGGAGGATGTGAAGGACACTGCCCTGCTGTGCTGCATCTGGGTTTACAGCCTTCCTCACATCCATCTAGTAGTGGGGCTGGGTGAATATTTTATTCCTGAGTTACAGCTAAGACTAAGCATCTAACTCAGGGCTTTAAAGCAGATCATCTCAGATCATCTGGGACAGACTGACCACAAACGTCATGCCCCAGCAAACCAGGCTGGGAGGCAAGAGTGAGGTGTGGTGGGGCCTTCCATGTGGTGAGTCTACAGCGTAGGGAAAAGGGGAAAAAGACGATTAAGGATCTGTGGATGACTGTACTTTTTTACACAGTGAGCTGTGCAACCTGGGTGTCTTGGCTGCAAATCCGATCACGTAGACCTGTCTCGTGCGGACTGACAAAAATAAACATCAGGAATGAATACATAGCACCATAGCTAGAGAGGAGGAACAAATCATGTAAATAGGTCAGGCTTGTAAATGGTCTTGAGGCTGAGTGAAGCCTGGTCTTGCTGGGGTCTCTTTCATTCCAGGGTTATATAAACACTTCGGGTCCCTGGGGCAGGCC